GTTTTGTGAGATAATGAACCTCTTTTTGCAACAAGAGTGGACACAAGAATCCTAGATGATACTACGGGGAACCTCTTAAACTGGTCCAAAGCAGATATCAAGGCATTGACAAACTTCAGGAGACAATGAAGTGGAAGTGGCCACAGCATTTGCAGGTTTCTTAACAGACTCAAACAGCGATAGGAACTGTTTTCTCCATTGCTAACCGATCTTATCAACTAGCCTGGGCTTAATGAATTAATCATAAGAGCAAGAAAAAAGGGTAAGATCTTATCAACTAGCTAAGGTAATCCTAGTATGATCCTGAATCCGATTGATTAGAGGAAACCAACGTGGAAGTTTAAGACTCTATAAATCCTTATAAAATGATGATTCTTTTATGGAACCCTAAAAGCCGATTGTTTTTTAAGGAAACCAATATAAAAGTCTTAACTATTTTTGAAAACCACGAACAAATTGGTTTCTCTGTTCTCTGGCAATGCGTTTACTTATTTGCTCTTCCTTTTTCGAGGGCCCAATATTGTTGAGTTCTGGCAAATCCCAGGAGCCACATTTACTGTTCTTCTGGTTAATGTCTTACATTTAGTTTAGAAAACATCAAATAAGTTACTATTCTTGTCTTGTTATTCCAACATCTGAGCTCTAGTCCTGGACTAGTGAACTGAAGCAGGAGTTTTGAATTAGAAACTCTTCCATAAATACTCGGTAGCTAACCCTAGTGTCCCTGGCTTACATTAATTATGCAAATAAAGATGTTGAATTGTCATGTATTACACACACTGGGAACTTTCTTTCTCAGTGATTTGTTCTTGGACAACCTATTGTATTTTTGCAAATATAAGATGTCCAACTGTCTATTCGTTTTGTTCTGATGCAATAACCAGCTCATGCTTTTCTCGTCTCATGCTGGCCTTGAATGCACGATACTTGCCAACGTTGTGTAGCGTTCTTTCTCCAACCTGTCCTATCAAACATAATGTGAACAGAATCAACTATCAGCAATGCAATTGTCTAGATCATCCACAAAACTCAATCTATTATGAAATTGAGAATTCTGAAACCACTCAAAACTGAAAAAATTCCATATTCCACGGCGAATAATCTCGAGGCTAGCTACAATGGCAATTAAGGATTGCCTGTGTAGGAAGGGCAGTCGGAAATTCAAGACAGTTAGCAACCAGGCAAATCTCAGCAATTACTGACATCATGAGAATTGGTCAGGACTTGTTCAGGAGCTGATGAATATAATTTGAAACCTGGTTTACGTTTTTTTTTTTTTTCATTTCATTAAGACAATGAGTCCAAAAGTTTTAGTTTTGTGGTACAAGTGCTAGTAAGATAATTCCTATCTGTCATGTGTTGTTCTTACTCACCATTGCTTCAAAATATACACTTCTGTAAGGGATAAGGAGTTTGTCTCTCAACAACCAGTTCTTAGACTGAGATTGCAAAAGCCCCCACTCCATGACTAGGTCCCAATATGTACCATATAGACCTGCAATTACTGAAGACACCGAAGCTAATATTTTCCAGCCAAGTCCTTTGTTAAGACTGTATGCAGTCCTTGTGCGTATGGCAACAATTGTGCAGAAATATTTAAGCCCATTATATCTTTGCATCTTGTTCTTCCCTTCGTAGAGGCGTCGAAGACACTGAAGGCCTAACTGAAGAAGTAACAAGTCTTTAAAGCAGTTGGAAATTTTGAACAACTCTTAGTATCGCAGAAGATTCAAGTTACACACCTGGAGAAGACGGGACCAGTAAGGAGTGACAGCAACAATGAAATAGAAAGTGTCGTATACATCATTGTTTTGCAGTTATTGTCTCAGTCTATAGTCTCCCCGGCCATAATAGCATATGTAGACCACCAAGCTTCTAAGGGCTTGCACCCACAATTAAACAATGATGGATGCTCAATAACAAAGCAACTGTATTTGTGTGATGATTGAAGGCATATATAGCCCCGGTTTATATACAAAACTGGCTAGTTAACTGATCTGCTAAGAAGGAATCTTGAAAACTGACCTGTAATCGAAAAACAGATATCACAGGTCAGTAGGTTGATCCCCTTGATATATTTTATTCTAGTATAAGCCTGACTCCATTTTTCACCTTGTACATAGGATCGAAGATGCGGTGAAACAAACATGTGATAAGGAAGAAGCCACTTGATCGGTATAAAATGTTGATTGGGCAGAGGAAGAGGTAACTACAAGCTGAAAAGACCAGCGAAAAAAGGAATTGTTTAGAGCAGATACATTTTGAAATTTAGTAGGGGAAGTATTTTGAATAGCTTCAATAGTCTTACCACAACCTAACTTAGAGGTACAAGTTTAGTCAGTGCTTGGTAATCATTTGTCTTAAGATCCATTTCCATGTCAAGGTTTGCCAGCACGCTGGAAAATGACAAGACTGCTAGACCAAAGCCTAACAGCAGAACTTCTCTACAACCCAGTTCTGTTCCTTGTTTGAAGCCAAATATGAAGGAATAATTGATGCGATACCGCCTCCAGAAGTATATATTGGCAGCATACATAAGAGCAAACAGGCTGCAAACAAGTATGGAAATGACTTGCGAAATAAGTATTGAATAAACGATAGAGACAGCTAAGACTGTACTAAAGCAAAATCTCCTGTTGTGTTCTGTTAATTCTTGATACCCTTCTAGCAAAGGTCATGTAAAATTAGGAAGTATGAATGCTTCAAATAGACCTGTAAAGAGGAAACATGCTACAAACCTGTAAAGAGGAAACATGTTTTCCATGTACTGGTCTTTTCTTTTCTTATCCAGAAGATCTCGAGCATGTATGATTAATGTAAGAGCTAGAATGAGATCCAATGTGCAGCCAACAAATAAACCTTGAAGTTTTCACACAAAACAGATTCAGTAAAAAACATGATTGCTTAAAACATGTTTCTGTTCATTTTCATCAGATAGCGTCTTACCCATGGAAAATGTTATTCTATGTCATTGTTTTTTTTATTGTGGTCATATGGTGTCCATCGCCTTGCTTCGGTTTGAATTAGAGAAATGCTTGGTGAATTTCAATATGTTTTTCATCGAAATTTATTTTTTTTAGTTTTTTTGAATTGTTTTGATGTCTGTGAGGTGCAGTACAGCTAACATGCAGAGAAAGCACCAATTTATTTATAGGAGAAGTTGCTAGTGCAGACTCAATTCCTAGGTGATGTCCTAAAAGTGCACAATATTTGATTACTGTTTCGACATAATAGAGACGAAGATAACATATTTCTTCGTTTTGTATGTTTTGAAAGGACATGAGATTACTTTAAAATTGCCCGGAAACATTTATTTTTATATTTCTGCCTCTATTCTTATAATTAAACACGTTATCCTGGATCTGTTTTTTTCGATCCTACTACAGTAACCAAACACAAATGAGTTCCATATTTAAGATTATCATATATGTCTCAGACAAATACAAAAGGACAATGCAAAACTACAGAATAAGAATCAGAATCACATGTTTCTTCCCTTCATTAAGTCAAGCATTGAGAACTTGTATTAAATTTTTGGAAGTCACAGATTCTAAGACAGAAGAAAAATATTGCTCATAGGGCACCGAACAAGTATAATCATATATGCTTCACATATAGCAAATATATCTGCAAATCCCATCAAAAGTTTTTGCCTGAAGGGTGGATTGTCATTTGATTGTGGGCAAGCAAGGATTTTGCCTGAGTATTCTAATAATGGACCTGGTCTCATTCTGTGTTGGTCACTGGACTGACATAATATTTTAAAAGATTGAGATAATAAGAGTGATTCCTTCAAAGCAATAATTACTAGTCCTAAGCCTCTTGAAGTTTTGTTTTCATCTAAATAAACTACACTATCAAAACAAGATGATGAAACAAAGAAATGACAATGTTAAGCATACATCTAGATTAGCCAGGGCTACATGCCCTGGTAACTTTCTTTGATTCTGGTGTTATGCAGATCACTGAACTATAAAGGGATAAAAGGCCTAAGTGGCTGCTTTCTTATTCTCACTGTTCTGTTACGATCATGTGCGTGTACAATGGTAGTTGTAATTAACGAGTTTGATTGTGACTAGATGATGATATTCTTCATAATTGCTTGATCCTGAAATGTTAAAAATTTCTGTTCATTAGGCATGGATTTACTGTAAGTTAGAAATGATGTCATAGCCTCATCTGGGAAGTCTATATCTTTGATTAGAGAAGTTCGATACCTGCCGATGTGCATCCTCATGTTTGCTTAACATTCCTATTTTGATCACCTGATGGTCTCACTAGTCTATCCTGAATTCATCTTCTTGGCAATGTCAACTGGGGTGTACAGTATCTCCTTCACTGGAAGTAAGGTGCATAGAGCACATAACAATGGCTGCATACATTCTGGAAAAAATTATAGAAGCTAAAGATGCTACTGATAGTGAACAAAACAACTCTGCGTTACTACAAACGACAGAGGCATAGACTGGAGACTGAAAATATCCGACACAGGCCACTTTGATTCCATAGACCAAGCAATAAGAAGCCAGTAATCAAGTAAGGACAATCCACATGGTAATAGGAAGTCTATCAAATGGAGAATAGTCCTTGCCTTGATACATCAACTAAAGAAAGTTGAGGAGGACAGGCATGATAAAGGTGAAAATGGCAAGGATTAAATTTAGGGCAGTGACTTGATCTTGTTGGACATAGTTTCTTGCTGCCATGAAGGCAATGTTTGATGAAACCTGTCTCTGGGAGAAGAGCATTTGCATGTAGTAGGGTAGGAAAACTAGAATAGCTTGGCTTAGAGAATGTTTTTGTTTCACAGAATTGACTAAAAATTGATGAATTTGTTTTATTAATAACATGCTAAACAAACAAAATTTACTTCATAGATTTGAGTAACACAGGAAACAATGAAAAACTGTTAAATTGAATTGAATTTACTGTACAGTAGCATCATCAGTTGTTAAACTAATGGCACCTTGCATACATATAGATCACAAGCTATAAAGGCCTCAAGATTCCACAGGATCAACAGATTTGTACTCTTGTCCTGCTTTCTTCTTCTCCTTCAGCAAAGATTTCATCCGGATTTGTGCATTCTCGAATTGCCTATGATTGCTTGCCATCTCTTCTGATGTCATAGTCACAAGTTTCTCTGGCTTAATCTGTCCCAGAAGAACTTTCCTTCTCAAATCTGGATTCTTTGGATCCTTCAAGTTGAATAGAACAGACCTGTACTTCACTGTCTTGGCGCCATTGAATGCCCCCATCTTCTGAAACATTACCGATTCAACAGCTGCAGCAACACATATTGGGTCACGCGAGCTTACTGCTTTCCTCAAGCCTGCTTCAGTTTCCTTGGCAACTCTGGTCAGTGATTCCACAAGAATGGATCGGACCTTGCCTCGTAAAGCATCATCGCACTTGACAGGTTCTTTTGATGGCTTATTGAAACTACCAAAACCTTTTACTTTCTCTTGCGCTGTGTCGCACGTAGGAGATGCTTGTGGTGGTTTCTTGAAACCACTGAAACTTTTTTCTTTCTCTTGCACTGCGACGCCCTTGGCAGATGCTTGTGGTGGTTTCTTGAAACCACTGAAACTTTTTTCTTTCTCTTGCACTGCGACGCCCTTGGCAGATGCTTGTGGTGGTTTCTTGAAACCACTGAAACTTTTTTCTTTCTGGAGAATTTTTCCTTGCAGTTTTTAAAACTGGCCTTCTATTTTATCATTCGACGCCTTTGGCAGATGCTTGTGGTGGTTTCTTGAAACCACTGAAACCTTTTGCTTTCTCTTGCACTTCGACGCCCTTGGCAGATGCTTGTGGTGGTTTCTTGAAACCACTGCAACTTTTTTCTTTCTCTTGCACTGTGACGCCCTTGGCAGATGCTTGTGGTGGTTTCTTGAAACCGCTC